GTTGTTTCATAAAAGTCAGCTTTTAAAAAAAAATTTTTTTGATTCTGCACTGCTAACTAACAATCCCACTTAAATAAGTTATTAGTAGACTTATTTCTGAATAATGTGCATCAATCTTTTCTGATGTGCATATGATTTGATAAGCGTCAATTCTTATATTTTTGGGTACTTTTCAAGGTTTTTCAAGTTTGGGCCAAAAAATGAGGCAAAAAGGATGTAAAGGCAAAAACCCTCAATGTTTTCTCTATGCGTTCAAAAATAAGTCAATTTTTTGAAGTGATAAGCGCATCTCAGGCAGCTGTATTAGGGATTATCAGGTAGTTTCAGTGAGGAATGATACTAATGCAACGCAACGTCCTTGATGTGATCCAAGATGCACTGCAGTTCTTCAAATCAAGACATCCACCTAAGTTAATTGAATAAAATGGTTACATAAAAACGGGTAATGCGGGATTGAAAAAGAGGACCAAGGTCAAAATCACATCTAATACTTACTAGCAAAAAATTTTTATTATTTGCTTCCTTATACTTCGCTTAAATAATTGCAGTTTCTGTTTTCAAACTCTCTCCGGCATTACCCAGCAGTTCCCCCTTCGTCTTCGGTCCAAAGAGAACTTTAAATTTGCTTAGAGTCGAAAAGTGTATTAGATCTGTGGCAAAGACGAACTCTGATATGAAACTTACAATTCCCCAGTATTAAACAATTTTGAGTATCTAGCACCAGTCCAATAAAATTTTCTATATTTTCCCCTCCCCTTCATTAGCTATCAGTTAGCAATCTGGAACTCATAATTAGCATAGTTTACTTAAATTCTAGTCCATTTTCTATAACGTATAGCCAAAGAAACTTTAGATGACCGAGACCGACAAAATGTTTCAAAAACGAATCTTAAATTAGTTAATTTAGGATCACTTTACAGTACATTAAAGGAACAAAGCAACATATGTGAGAGGCAATAAACTTTTTTGATCCTTAACAAGCAGAAACAAATAAGAAAGATATATTATCTGCTATTTGCATTACTTCTTAGCAATTAGACCCCAAAAATACTTCTGTTGCAGAAGTGGCAAAACAAGCCTAAAGAAACAGCTCTGAATTGCCAAAAATCAATTGCATATTAAAATTACTTGGCTGACAATGAAAAATCAAATGAATACCGGAAGCAGGCAAAAACCAAATGAACACACTTTTCAAAAAACGAATGATCAATATTGATCACTTTTAGGCCACATAGTTAAAATTACAGAGTTACGCTTCGATATGATACATAAATAATTTTTTTTCCAAAACTTTAGTATTGCATACTATTCTTTACCAGCTCCAAAGATTTTTTCCAAAGTGCATCTTGTAAAGCTTCATCGTACACCAGACTTTTCGCTAAAGACTTTTCATCGTCGCAACAATCAGCAAAGTATTTGCCACTACTCTTAAAAATGTAGATATTAATCAAAAAAACACTTAACCCTTAGAGAACTTGACCATGCTGAAAAATTAAAAGAAAATAAAAAAAGTAGCTGACCTCCAAGACATCTTTAGATGTGGCACAATAAACAGTTGTTGCGGCACCCTGCTGGAGCGTCTTGCAAAACGGCTGAGTAATCCGGTAAAACAGTCGTCCTGGCCAACCATAAGTCCGTGAAATACCTTTAATTTACGTATGACAAATGACAGTAAATGCGTAAAATTGTACAGCGTTGAGTCTATAAATTATACCTGTCGATATTAGAGTCCCAGGGTGTACGGAATACACTCTGATATCATTTTTTAGCTCATCTCGGTGCAGTTTCATTGCCATTAATATATTGCATAACTTTGAACAGGCATATAACCGGTAAGAAACTTGAGACAAGGCAGGTTCAATCAATCGATGCACTTTTTCATCTGTCGATGCTTTTGGATTCACCTACAAAAAGTAGTCCTAAATGAATTATTAACCGGTCGACGAATTAGTATTTGGAAGATATTTAAACATC